TTGGACATTAACAGCAGAACTGCACTGAAGAATCGGAGCATTGGAAAAAGTTGCTACAGAACTATCTGCTAGATGTGTGAGACATCCCCATGCAAGAAAAAGACCCGTTGGAAGACCTCAAAACTAACGTCACAAAAAGGAAATGGCATATCTACGTAAAAAAAACCTAAGTATATTTATATCATCCTAAAAGTTATGATATTAGGCAAGTGAAGAGCAGGCCGGGGGAGAGCAAAAAATGGGATGAAAACGTTGTTCAGTGAACTAGAAAATCCTTCGCAGAAACCAAGACAGTGACACTTAACTGAAACATGTGAAGTAACCCTACGATCCTGCACAGCGACCCTCTGGCGACTACAACCGGACATGGGACGAGTAAAAGCTTTGAATACATTTTGCCCAGTGAAAAACCTGCGCAAGTCAACAAAACGCATGTAAGTATATAATGACGAACATTGAAAATTTAAAAGGGAATGAATAAATGAATAAAGTCAACGTGGGTAAACAGTTTTTACTTCCCACTAAGAAAAATCTTAGATTTGGTTAATGATTAAATTTTGTGTATTCTTTAATGAATATCCACACACAGACGCCGACATTGTGTGAGTGTGTATGGTGAACAGCACTTTTATTTGATAAGCTTATCTTGATAGGGCACAAGGCTATAACGGCTGTGTATACTGCGAGAAACAAACTCGCTACAAAAGTAATAATTTGTGGGATTAGTTACTTAAACATTGAGACATTTAATTATGTTATGGTTATAAATATACCCGGTAACAACACAAAAGAAATTAATAGATCTAATTGAACAATATAGTTGCTGAAGAATTAGCCATTAGGGAAAAGGAGGTTGGCATGTCAAGGTAAAACGGAGACGAAGAAAAGTCAAATGGAAGACAAAGATTCAAAGAACACAAGACGGAGAGGATTGTTAAGGAAATGAAAGACAAAGGATTCAAACATAGAGGATAATGAAAAAGATAAATATAGATAGATATAGATAGAGATATGGACATATATATATATGATATATATAGATATATAGATATGAAAAACACACACACATATATATATATATATATATATATATACACATACATATATATATATAGAGAGATATGAAAAAACACACACATATATAGATGTGACACACACACATATATATATATATATATATATATATATATATATATATAAATATGAAACACATATAGACATGAAAATATATCTATGAATATAGATAGATATGAATATATATATATATATATAGATATGAATACTAAATTAAATATAGAGTCAATGCTCGAAATTAATATAAACTTATATATATTATTATATATGTACATAAAAAAATATATATATATGTTGTGTTAAAATGGTTATAAGGTTAGTAATCAATAATATAATATAAAATATGAAAAAGGGCATATGATAGATTGGATAATATATATATACAGAATTAAAATATATATTATAGAGTTTTCATTTTGGAATTACAAGCCAACATGAGTTAATTTCGTTTATTAAGTAGATTTTGGTCATTATTTTTTGAGGATGAATATATTTTCAGAAAAAAACATATATATATATATATATCGGATAAAAAACACACAGCCGGATAAGGTTCTAGATTTGGCAACGAAATTTATATATATATATATATATGTCATTTCAATTCTCTCCATAGAATTTTCCATCGGATTGAGATCTGGAGATTGATTTGGACATTTTAGAATATATATTAGATTTGAACTTAACACATATTATATTTATAAGATATGGCATATATGTTTAGGATCGTTGGCATTATTGAAATATCAATCTGGTTTCAACACCACACATATATATATATATGAATATATATGATATGAACACACACACACACACACACATTAATATATATATATCTCCAAAATATCCCTATATATATGCTCCATTCTTCCTCCTTTCTATAATTTATAATGTTACACCTACACCTTATATATATATATTGCAACCCCAGATGATTATATATATATATATTAGATAGAGATATATATATATATGAATAAAATATATTATAATTATTTGAAAAACACAAAAAATATGATTCCTTATATACATAAGAGTTCTCATGTTTATAAAAACATATATAGAGACATGAAAACCATCAATATAATTATATAAAATTAAATTGAATTAAAGTAACAAGCCCTCATTTCATCCTCAAGCGAAAATTTAAAGGGAATAACCATAAAATATTGAAATTTATCTATATAAAATTTTAAGAGTTTTCATTTTATGAGCGTGATCATTTTTCGTTATTTTGAGGATGAATATTTTTTCAGAAACAGATGGGGCGACCACTTTTATCCAGATATATTGTCATTTCAATTGTCATTCAAGTCACCATAAATTTTCAGATTGGATCTGGAGGATTTCAAGCTTTGAGGTTGGGTATGGGGCGTATTTTAAATATCGAATTATATGGAGTACATTTCTCTCCACTAATATGCTCCATTTTTTTTTTTTTAAAAAAACAGAAAATACTATTATTAGAAAGAACCCTGGATTATTTAAAAAAAAAACGTCGTTCATAAGAGTTCTCATTTTTCAACAAACGACTGAAAACCATCAACATAATTATTAAAATTAAATTGAATTAAAGTAATATATCCTCAAGCGAAAATATAGTAATTCGTTACATTCAACACATTCACATTTTATGATAAGACACCTTCGGGGAAGAGGTGCTGAAACATTTTAAAAAATGTCTATTTAAATAAAACAAAATACTAAAGAGATTTTTACCAAACATCATTTTTATGTTATATTTTTTAGAATATATATATATATATATATATATATATATATATATATATATATATATATGAAGCTTTGAAATTAATGTGACCCATCTAAACACCCAATATCTAAAAAAGTAACATTTAATTCAAAAAAATAAAATGATAATAGGATCTTTGAAGTACTTTTACCATAAAGATAGTTAAACATTGTGTAGACTTAAAAAAACCACCCTTCTACTATTTTAAGGCGGATACCTATCATCGTTGGAAATAGGATTCGTAAAGTTTCTCCTAAGAAATCTATATTTAATAAAAACAAAGGATCGTAAGGTAGGGCAATCCGAAAAATTCGTTTAAAAGTAACGCTAATGTAAATAAAAATAATAATAGGCGGAGAAATAGAGAAAGAAATATAATATGGTTCAACCCACTTTTCTGTAGGTTATCTAAAAGCAACATAGGGCAAGTGTTCTTAAAACTAAGAAACAAACATTTGAAAACTAATCACTCACTAAGTAGAGTCTTCTTAGAAAAACTTAAAAAGTTGTTTTTGTACAAATAATATGTATAAGATTATTGATTCCCATAATAAAGTTGTTCTTAATTCATTCTAAACCATCAACAAATCACGTTGTATGGATACCGCATGTAAATGTAGAAATGGTGAACTCTGTCCAGTAGAAGGAAAATACAGACCCTCTAATCTTATATATATATATATATATATATATATATATATATATATATATATATATATATATATATATATATATCTGTATCTATAAATGGCATTCTGTTTGTGTGTGTGTTTGTCACCTCATCCTGTGCAAACCATTCGTCAAATTGGCACGAAAATTCACAGATTTACGCCATTCGTACTTGACGTCTTCGGATTTTTCGATTGTTCCTCCAATTTTGGAAAAAATCGATAAAACCGATAGGAGGTTGAATATTGATTCGAAAAAAAAAAAAAAAAATTCAGTTTTTCAGTGATAGTTTTCACAAATTCCAAGTGATATCCACCAAACTCACGTTGAGCAATGTCCTTACTTATAGTTTTGAGGTGCTGTCCTTTGTTTTTAAAAATTGATAACACTTATCGGAAAAAATTGATAAAATCGATCACTTTAGGACATCCGATTCAAATCCAATGTAGCTGATTTTTGGCTATGTTTTTCGCAAACTGCAAGGAAGTTTCACGAAAATCATGTTGGTCATTAGTTTTATCAACAGTTATTAGTTGCTGACTTTTTTCTTCAATATCGGTATCAATTGTCGGAAAAAATCGATAACATCATGCCACTTTTGACTTACAATTCAAATCCAGTCAAGCTGATTTTTGGCTATATTTTTCGCAAATGGCGAAGAATTTTCTGCAAAATTCCCGTTGAGCCTAGTATTTACCGACAGTATTGAGGTGCTGACTTTCGTTTTCAATATCGGTTTCAATTATCGGATAAAAATCGATGAAATCATACCCCTTTTGACTTCCCATTCAAATCGAGTTTACCTGAATTTAGCGATGTTTTTCGTAACTTGCTTGGGATTTTGATTAACTTTATCGGCTTTAGTCGTGACAATTAAAACTTTTGCCATGTGAGCTCCTTTGTGACCAACTAATACCTGAGGGAAGTTGATACAATCATGTCTTCATCGGAATTTGCGAATATACTAATCAAACGTATGTTCAACTGAGACGTCTACACTACAGACTCTACAGATAATTGTTATTCACACAAGTGTGACATTGCTTCACATAGCGGTATCTTATTGGCTGAGTGCAGTAGGCGGTCGCTGATTGGTGTTCGAGACCCTTAGACGCTCGCTGATTGGCACAAACGATTGGCCAGTAACACTTCGCATTTGAACTTGCTGTTCACAGCTGTGGGACGAAGGTCTCACTTCTGCTCCTGTTACGCCGCCATCCGGTTGATACGATAGGTTCCTTCAACTGATCATTTCTCCTACCGCAAGTTGTTTCTTACGTTTGTGTTTTCCGTTTGTCTAACTACATTTTCCCAACTACCATAAACAATTTATTCAGCTATTTTACTTAAATACCTGCCTTCCCGATTCTGGCTCACGGTTTGCTATACTAAATTTGTACTCCTGCAATTGAGCAACCCTAATCAACCACTACTAGCATCACTTTTCCCCATGCCGCCAAAAAGGAGAGTACGTCTTAGCCTTCGGTCTTAAAGAGCGTCCGCTATGAGGGCAAGAAGGGCCCGCGAGTCCCAGGAGCAGACTACAATGCGACTATCACAGGTCGCTCAACGCAGCGCCCTGACGCAGGCCTCACAGTCACAAGAGGAGCGTGCCACCGGCTTGGCTGGGAAAGCTGCCTACAGGGCTTCGTTGCGATCAAAGCTCAAGAATGCACAACGGTCGGGAATAAACGCACAGTATGCAGCAACCGCCTCTGCATCTCAAGCTTCCGAGACTCATCATCAAAGTCTTCTTCGTAATGTAAGAAACTCTGCTGCCACTGCGAAATCAAGGGAAATAGAGACACTTGACCGCAAGCGCGCCCGTCAATCCAGGGATGCTGCTGCAACAGCGAGCGCTAGGGTTGCTGAGACACAGCTCCGTAGGTCTGTGCGAAATGCTACGAATGCTGCCACCACTTCCAGGTCGAGAGCAGTAGATACTGCCTGCCCGCAGACGCGCCCGTCAATCCAGGGACGCTGCTGCAACAGCGACTGCTAAGGCTGCTGAAACTCCGCTCTGTTCGAAATGCTACGAATGCTGCCACCACTGCCAGGTCGAGGGCAGCTGAAACATTTGACCGCAGGCGCGCCCGTCAATCCAGGGACGCTGCTTCAACAGCTAGGTCGAGGGAGTCTGAGACAGAGCTGCATCGGGCAACCCGCAATACCTGCAACGCTGCAGTGACTTCTGCTGCCAGAAAATTCGTGGGCCCACAGACAAGGGCAAACAGACTTTCAAGGGCTGCTACAATCATGGCCGCTGTGCTCAAACCTCAAACTCCCCAAGCTCGCCGCATACGCCTCGACGGCGACATTCAGCGCCTTGCGACCGCCCGTAATATTACCTGTCCCAGTAGCTCTTTTTGGTATTTCTTGGCTTTCAATTACGACCCCGGCCTTAACTACGTGTGACGACATCAATGTAAGGTCCATGACCTGCAACGCCCGCAAATGGACCGGGGAGCCTAGTGGTCTGTGCTGCTTCTCCGGCAAAGTTCGACTGCCGCATCTGCATGAACCACCTACCTCGTTGAGGAGATTAATAACCGGCTCCCATCCCGACTCCAACCACTTCCTTAAAACAATTAGGCAATACATTTGGGGCTCAGGTGGTTCGAGAAGAGGGTTGGATGCCCACTTTCAAAGTACAGGGGCAGGTATACTACCGCATTGGGTCTCTGCTGCCTGAGGAGACCTCTACGCCTGAATTCCTTCAACTGTACTTTATTGCAGACTACAACCTAGAGACCGAAACCCGGATTGGTATTTTGTTGCCGTCGGGAAGAGTTCCACGCAGGGACGTCATACTACTACTTCAGGCCATGCTTCACGAGGTTAACAGCTACATTCGCAGTTTCAAATATGCTTTGGAAAATGCTCCCTTTCCTTCCTTCAGCATTGTAATTGGCGCCGATAAACGGCCTCATGATGAACGCCGCTACAATGATCCTGCGTGCAACCAAGTGGCCGCTATTATACATGGGAAGCAAGACCTCACTCGAGATATTGTCTTCAAATCAAGAGGCGGCGCTCTTCGCCGGATTTCAGAGACCCATCGATCATATGACGCATTGCAGTACCCTTTACTTTTCCCTTATGGTGACGATGGCTACCACTTCGGCATTCCACTTCATACTCCGGGTGGCCAACCTGCAATGTCTCCGAAAGCCTTGTCGTGCGAGGCCTTCGACTCATACCATTTCATGGTTAGGGATGGAGACTTCAACCTGCAGGGAGCTTTTCCATCAATTTGCGGTTGACATGGCCGCTAAGATGGAATCGGAGAGGCTTTGTTTTATACGGAATCATCAGAAACAGCTGCGCTCAGACTCCTACGTACACTTATGTGAAAGCCTTCGAAATGAAGTCAATCCTCGAGACCTACAGAAGCTGTGCATTCTGCCCTCTACCTACACTAGGGGGGGGGCGTTACATGCATGAACGCACGCAGGACGCTATGACATGCGTTAGGCAATATGGGCGGCCAGACTTATTTATAACGTTTACCTGCAACCCCAAATGGGTTAAGATAACGCGTGAACTCCTACCCGGACAGGATTACACTCACAGACATGACATTACCGCCCGCGTATTCCGCTTAAAACTGGGAAAACTTATGGACTTAATAATGAAGTGGCGAGTACTACAGTGAAAACGCAACCACTATTTTACATTGCCAGAATTAAAAATCTTGACAGATTATGAACGGATGGCAGTCTTCGGTTAAGCACAGAGCAGCAACACAGCAGCCACCTATTGCAACCGGTTGCCCTTGATCTCATTGATTTTGTTGCCAGTGAGATTCCCAGCCTATCAGTGACCTCAACAACTGCGGATACGTGAGTAAGTTCAATAATTCAAACCCTAAAGCAACGCCCGGGCTTTACTGCTAGTATATATATAATTTTTAGCAGACTTAAAAAATTGAGTAAGAAAAATATCAAAATTTTTCTTTCGAACTGTTTTTCTTTTTCCCCAAGTACTTTCAGTATAATCTGAGACCATCTTCAGGGTGTTAAGTTGTCTATGAGTATGTATATATGTTTCTGTGAATTTAAAACATTTCAACTGTTCGTTTTCTTTTGTGTTTTTTAAGCAGCGTTCTAGATTTCAATGTTCAAAATCTTTTGTTTTTTGTTTTTGCCTGTAAAAGGAAGTAACTTTTTTTGTTTTTTGCTCATACGTACATATATTTTTTCATAAGCATTTAAGGATTTTGTTGCTATATTCATAGTTAACTTTATTTATTCTGGGATTTAACTCTCGTATATAAGAAGCTTCAAGGATTTTTAGTATTTGCGTGTTATTGTTTTTTTTTTATGTAATATAGATGTATTCTCACTAATATTCGTCTAATCTATGGGTGTGGGTATGAGTGTTCCTTTAAGTGCTGATATTGATCTATGTTCAACCAAATGAAAATGTTAAGCCTTTTTGTTAGCATCATCGTAGCAAAGCCAACGTACATATTGACATTTTTATCAGAGATACAATCTCCTAAAGGACATTTAAATTGATATACAATGTTGGGATTTGCACGATGTTAGCTGGCAGAGAAGAGTTATTTTGGACAACTAGATTGTATTAAATTTAGTATAGTATATAATTAATTTAATTTTTTTTTTCACTTGGATCAGTGAGAGATATATTAGTGCTATTAGTATGTTTTTTTTTTTTTTTTTTTTTTTTTCTATATATATATATATATATATATATATATATATATATATATATATATATATAGCTGGAGGTACATGTGGAGCTTAATGTTTAAGAAATCGCATGCATTCAGAAAGACTGCTTTTATATGACAATGCACCATCACATTTGGAGAAGAACATTAATGAATAACTGAATAAAATAGGTTGTAAAGACATTTGGTGAAGTGAAACACACATACACAGTTATATCCAATATTAACACGACTGGAAATTAAAACGTAATCTGAAGAGAAAATTTCTCGTAATGGGCGAAAGTTTGCCAGCAAATTTTAATTTTTGAATGCTATTTTGGATGACGTACAGTATGATTCATATGAAAAAATACAACTATTTACAAAATCCATTGATGAGCGACTTTCGAAATAGCATTTCAGAACATCGGTCATATATTTCACATTAATGTTCTCTTCATAATTTTCTTATTACAATGATTGGGTACGATTTAGGATTCAGAAAATTTGTCTTGGCAACTTTTCTGCACGTTCTGTAATTATAATTTTTAAATTTTTGTCTGGATTTCTGGTACGAGGAGTAATTATTCACACGGTGACTATTGTCCCCATTTAATGACATGGTAATTGCGAGTTTAATCCCTGGACTGGGGAGTGTGTACTTGGACTCAGTGGAAACGAGGCGAGCAATAGCAATAACGAGCAAGAAATGGATTGGAACAGCGGATCGAGAACACTGTACTCCCGTAGATGAAATAAAGAATTTCAGCTCGGCATTCCCTGAAAGTTACTCGGATCAACAAGCATCTGATGAAGGTGACGGGGATAGGGGGCAACGGCCGAAACGTTGTCATAACAACAACAACAAAGATGGGTTATAATTTTGAATTACAACATGATATTTCAAGACTATTCATTAACTTGCCCAATAATGTAAAATTTGAAAAATCCAGGAAAATTCATAAACTGTTCGTATCAGAAAAAATTCATTCTACTAAACTGTTGTCCGTATTCACAGCTCGGTGGAAGATTAACATGTATTCTACTATTTTTAAACTATTTTTACCGTCTACTTTACTTACTGAAAACTTTTTCAGTTGAACGTATTTCTGCACTTTTTACCGTTTTACATTACTAAGACAGTTGAACGTCCCCGATGATGTAATTCCAATGCATTGTGTATCTTTATAATTGATGTTTAATCATTTTTTCCTTATTTTCTTCACAACTCTTCAGCTTTTCTCCTGACCAATGACCAACAAAGACCATAATAAATTCTATCCTCTTAGAATCATCTTACATTAAAAGTTAATTAAATCCGGTGAGAAAATATTTCTGTCGTACTCCACTTTTTATTTTTCGGTATTTGATAATCACGTTTTCTATTTTTGATGATTACGGTTTATTTTAGTAGCTTTTCTGTGTAGATCAGCTATATTTCAAAGAAGGTCGTATTTTATTAAAAGGTTTTTTTGTTATTTGTGAAACATGCGTATTTATCTTTATGTATTTCTATTAATCGTTCTGTCAATATGATGATCTTAAAAACTGTTCCAATCTCTTAAACAAAGCCAGATTGTTTTGGCCTTATTGCTGGTACAATTCTGCTACAAGCTCTATTTATTAGAATCATAATTATTGGTTTAGTTGTTTAGCTCATGAATCTGATTGATGGATTTCACATTCATTCACACCAAATTTCTTTGGCATGCGCTATGAATATTGATCTACTGAGGTCTTCCGGTATTTCGCCGCTGTCATATATTTTGTTTATCACTTATGTTAAACTTAACTTAACATCCTAATCGCTGTCCGTATCTCTATTACTATCTTGTATAGCCCTGCTGTTTTGGTCCACGTTATTTCACTGTTCAAGTCAGTAGTTAAACATTTTCAAAAAGGGTTTGTCAACTGTTAGCATTAAACCAATCAACGTCCCTTTTTGTTGCCTTTCCACTTCTTTTAAACATAAAAATCGTTTGGTAATATACTTAAATATTTTTAAAGATCAATGGTATACTGGAAGAAATTCATTTCTTCTTGTTAAACCTTGCTTCTGATTTGGATCCGGTTAAGTGTAACGTGGGTTCGGGCTTACTCGGCTTATAAATGGACTCTGAAAAGGACCTCTTCGCGATGCTTCCAGAATACATGTTTTATTGTTCCTTATTGAGCTTACTTTTCCACAATGATAATAATAATAAAAATATTAACCGTTTCCTTATAAGGAAACATTCAGCATTTCCATGGAGTAGCCAGTGCTACTGTCAGCTGAAAGTTTAAAATCTTTCTCTTAAAACAGTTTTCAGGAAAACAGGTTACTGAAGTCCATTAGCTGTTACGTTTTCTCCTGTTTTGATAGGTGGGGCTCCCTTCTATACCTTTTGTTGGAAATAATGTGAAATGTCAACAGCTTGATAATGGTATTATTTTCTTTTGCGCTACCCATTTTAGTTGTTGCTGTTGTTGAAAGCCCTCAAGTGATGTGGTTTCTGTTATTTGATACAGTTCTTTATGATTATGTAGCGCCAGTCTACGAGGTTCGAAAAAGGATGGTCCTCACTAACAACTACCAGCTACATTCTCTTGAAGACGTTTTAATCATTGATCAAAGAAAGCAGTTGCATACGGATGATAGTTTAGATATTTGTGAAAGGGTTTGGTGCCATATGTATCTTTCATATGAAAGCGATGTTGGGTGAAACTACTCCGAGCGCAGTTTATTCTATGTTAGTGCCCT